CCCCCCCACACACACACACACACACTTCCAACAGAGCTAAGAGCCTTTCCTTCTGGCCCTGTGCCCGCCCCAGCTGAGAGGAGCCTGGCCCCCTGCTCTGGACAGGACAGCTAGGACGGCACTGGGACATGGGGCTCTGGTGCCTAGGCCCCTTCGGATACGTCACACGCGCACACCCCAGGGATTCCCCTCACAGAACGCTCTCGCAGCCGGCACTAAGACCAGCAGGTTTCCAATCCCTCCTCGCTAAAGAGCGAAGAGACCCCGCCCCAGCTGAGAGGAGCCTGGCCCCCTGCTCTGGACAGGACAGCTAGGACGGCACTGGGACATGGGGCTCTGGTGCCTAGGCCCCTTCGGATACGTCACACGCGCACACCCCAGGGATTCCCCTCACAGAACGCTCTCGCAGCCGGCACTAAGACCAGCAGGTTTCCAATCCCTCCTCGCTAAAGAGCGAAGAGACCTAACGCCGCTCCGTGGCCGGATACCACCACCGTGAAAGACACAGCCTGCGCGCTGGCGAACGGACTCTGCTCGACAACACAGTAATCCAAGAGCAGTCTGTGCATGGCAAGGCCTGGAAGCTCTAGGCAGCTTACCTCCGCTACAACGGCTGTGCGCCGCTTACTTGTATTTCCTCCAAGTTATTTTCTCATTACAGGGTTTGCTCCAGACTTGACCTGATCACAGGAGCAGCCTCATCAGCAGAAGTTGCCGAGTGAACTTGTTTTGCATTGCGATGGCTTACTGCCCCGTGGCCGGCATCGTTAGTTACTCCACCGCGGACCGGCACTGCTCCAAAGCAATGGGGTACGCACAAGTGAGGAGCTGCCGGAAGCTAGCGGCCCACCCCGGGGCGAGCACGCCCTGGCGGCCAAGTACAGCCTTACCTTACTGAGCTTCTCCCCGTCCGTGTGGGGAATGAGGGTCTTCAGAGACTGGAAGCCAGCATTGATGCTCTGCATCCGCCGCCGCTCGTTGCTGTTGGCGATTTCTCTGCGTATCCGCCGCTCCTGGTCCCGCTGGGTCTCGGGGGTCAGTGGGATGTTGGCCAGGCTGGAAGAGAGGCAGAGGGTTAAGCAAGGGCGGCCAAGGCTCGAGTATCCCCATGCCCAGCCTGCAGATGGAGGCTCTCTCTTTCTACCAGATCTCCTGCAGTGCTGTGAGAACCCGAGAGCTCTTCCCAAACAGAGACCCGACTGCTAGACACAGAAACTTTTTGAGAGCCAGACAAGACTGTTCTCCTGCCCCTGCACTTCTCCTCAAGCAACACCTCGGAGGTCCTCTTCCGGGGCCGCGAGCACACACCTGCACCCAGAACAGGGCGGGGGGCGTTTTCATGACGATCTGGAGGCATTGGGGAATGTGGCTAATCCAGTTTGAGGCTACAATTCACTCCCCACGTCCTCCTCCTGATAGTTCCATCCACCACAGGATCGCCAGGACCCTACATTTTACAAGCAGCCACATGGGATGATCCCGCAGGCACAGTGGGTGCTGATCCCACTGAAGGGAAGACAGAAACCTGGTTAGTCCCTCTCGGGCCACCGTGCCTTGGCAATCTACCCTGCGCCCATCAGTGAGGCCTGCTCCACAGAAACACGTCCTGCCCAGAGGAGGCAGAGGACCATGGTGCTGCTGCCTCTGCTGGGCAGAAGGAGGGAAGAGCTGGGCAGGTGACCCATACCTGAGAGACCCCCCCACACACTGCCCCAGTGGGTACAGGGGCAATCCAGTCCCACAGCAGGCGAGAGCTGCTAATCGCACAGGGACTCCGCTCCTATTCGTGGCGACAGTTCTTTGGGCTCACGCACTCCATCACCCCTTCGTGGGTTTGCGGGGTGCAGGAGGACTCTCCCCTCCCCCTCGGCATTAGCACACGGTGGGATTCTAACACTGTTCTGGCCCCAATGCTCATTCAACAACCACACAGGTGCAGGCCGGGGTCTCCCGCAGGCCCCAGAGCTAAGCGCTGTGGGACAACGTCAGTCCCGGACAAATCAGCTGAAACAAGAGCAAAGAATAAAATTGTCAGACACCTAGAAGAACATAATTTGTTGGGCAAAAGTCAGCATGGTTTCTGTAAAAGGAAATCATTTTACTAATCTATTAGAGTTCTCTGAAGGGGTCAACAAACATGTGGACAAGGGGGATCCAGTAGATACAGTGTACTTAGATTTCCAGAAAGCCTTTGACAAGGTCCCTCACCAAAGGCTCTTGCATAAGTTAAGTTGTCATGGGATAAGAGGGAAGATCCTTTCATGGACTGAGAACTGGTTAAAAGACAGAAAAGGGGTAGGAACAAATGGTAAATTTTCAGATTGGAGAGGGGTAACTAGCAGTGTTCCAAGGGTCAGTTCTAGGACCAATCCTATTCAACTTATTCATAAATGATCTGGAGAAAGGGGGAAATAGTGAGGTGGCAAAGTTTGCAGACAATACGAAACTGCTCAAGGTAGTTAAGACCAAAGCAGACTGAAGAACTTCAAAAAGATCTCACAAAACTAAGTGATTGGGCAACAAAATGGCAGATGACATTTAATGTAGATAAATGTAAAGTGATGCACATTGGGAAAAATAACCCCAACTATACATATAATATGATGGGGGCTAATTTAGCTACAACTAATCAGGAAAAAGATCTTGGATTCATCGTGGATAGTTCTCTGAAGACATCCACGCAGTGTGTAGAGGCAGTCAAAAAAGCAAACAGGATGTTAGGAATCATTAAAAAAGGGACAGAGAATAAGACAGAGAATCCCTTATATAAATCCATGGTACACCCACATCTGGAACACTGCATACAGATGTGGTCTCCTCATCTCAAAAAACATACTGGCATTAGAAAAGGTTCAGAGAAGGGCAACTAAAATGATTAGGTGTTTGGAACGGGTCCCATATGAGGAGAGATTAAAGAGACTGGGACTTTTCAGCTTGGAAAAGAGGAGACTAAGGGGGGATATGATAGAGGTCTATAAAATCATGAGTGAGAACTAGGGGCCACCAAATGAAATTAATGGGCAGCAGGTTTAAAACAAATAAAAGGAAGTTCTTCTTCACACAGCGCAGAGTCAATCTGTGGAACTCTTTGCCTGAGGAGGTTGAGAAGGCTAGGACTGTAACAGGGTTTAAAAGAGAACTAGATAACCTCCATGAATGTAAGTGCATTAATGGCTATTAGCCAGGACAGGTAAGGAATGGTGTCCCCAGCCTCTGTTTGTCAGAGGGTGGAGATGGATGGCAGGAGAGAGATCGCTTGATCATTACCCCTTCGATCCACTCCCTCTGGGACACCTGGCATTGGCCACTGTCGGCAGACAGGATACTGGGCTGGATGGACCTTTGGTCTGACCCAGTCTGGCCATTCTTATGACAAGGCCTCGCCATGAGGCCACTGCAGAGTGGGGAGACAGTCGGTGGCACTCAGCCCTGAATCAGCACTAAACACGCCCAGCGCTATGGGGCGAGACAAGGGGCGTCTCAGACGAGGCCTAGAGTGGCGGGTCCAAGCACAGGCATTCGTCAGAGCCCACAGCACCTCTCGTAGGACCAGCTGTCACCCAGGGCCCTGCCCATCTTCTAATGTGGTGGTTTGGCTCTACTTCACCGCCCTCTCGCGTCAAGCAGGCACTGCGGGCTCTCCTCGCGGGCCCAGCCTGCTTGGCGGCCCTACGCCAGGTCTAGGTTCGGCCCTGGCAGGACACAAGGACAGAGAGCTAGGAAGGGTTTTTGGAATCCTTCAGCAAGACCAAGATAAAGGGACCCCCCGGTACCAGCCGAGCCAGGCCCTGAGCTGATCCTGGCTCCTCCGTGGAGGGCGGGGGGACCGCGGGGGGGCTTTGAGGGCTGCTGAAAGCTGCGGGGCTAGGCAGGGAAGAGGGAGGATTAAAAGCTTAAGATAGAGCTGGTGAGCTGCAGCAAGGGCCTCTGGTTTCTCCCCTCACCTCCACCCCCAACTTCTCCATGGTAAGAAAGCGGCAAGCATCTACGTCCCTGCAGGGCCAGCCTGTGTGTGTGGCCCTGGATGAATTGGAGGAGAGCTCCCTCCCTCTCCTGCTGATGGCTTCCAGATGATCACTCCCAGCAGAGGTAGCCCCCGCCCCACCCAAAGCCCCAGGTCCCGCCTGCTTCCTGCTGCCTCCGCTGCGCCTTCTGTTCCCAAGTGATCTGGCAGAGCCGCCAGGAAAACACTTCCCCCGCCAAATGCCACCCAGCTGGGAGGGAGGCAGAAACACTGTGGTCAATCCAGCAGGGGAACTCGGGCTGGACCACGATCAGCTCACAGGTTTTAAACCCCGTCCACACGAGCGTTGAAAGCCCCTCTAGATAACAGGTCAACACGACCTACAGTCCTAGTCCAGACTTCTCCACGGAGGGCACTTTGCAAGCCCAAGGAAGGAGAGAACAGGGTGACCTGTCCCTAGCCCAGAACGCAGGTTATTAAATCTAAAGAGGAAGCGGAGCCGCAATGAGGTGCAGCAGTGTTTACACCACACCCTGAGCTCCGGATCGACCCCTCCCTGCCTCTCAGGTAAAGCACCAACAGCAGCCTCAGGCCTGCCCATGCAGCCCAGGCCTCAGAGCAACCCGGAGACCGGGACCTGCACTGAGCCTGTGCCAGGCCTGGGCCGCTGCCAGAGACAGCGCTTTGAGAGAGGCCAGTGAATTGCAAAGGCCACGTACCTTGAAAGTCACTTAAAAGCTTTAGGCCCGTAGCGTCCAGTACACTAGCCACATGTGGCTATTTGGCTAGTTAGTTCACTATAGCACAAACCACTATAGCGGCTACTGCTTCACAACTGGACACCACGGATTCAGGCCACTGGAGAACGGAGAATTCCGCTCCATGTTAAAGAGGTGACTTCTAGCCCTGAGATGCAAGCCTTTAGCTAAAGCCACAGACCACATTTTTCTTATATTTTCCCATCACGACGTTGTTAATAGCCACTAGTTCAAGAATTAGACCTAGAAAGCGGCTTTCTAAGGCTGTGGACGACTCCATTAAGTATGTACAACAGCCGAGACTGCATGAGAATTCGGCTCAAGTCATGCCGGAATTCAAGAACAATGAAAATCACACTTGTAACCACCTGCTCTCCGCTGTCACCTGTTCGCAGCCAGCAAGATCTCAGTCCCTCAGCAGTTCTGCATTAGCTCACCCCGACAGCCATGCTCCTATTAACTACCCTGATGAGTCTGGCAGTCACTAGTCCTGGCCAGCTATGCTACAGTCCATCTGCAGAGAGCCAGTGAGGCTAAGCACTGCAAGTGCTAGGAGATCTTAAGACAGAGGATGCAAATGCATATCCCTAGGCACAAGCGAAGACAATATATGAAAGGTCAGCGGCAGTTTGTCAGTGAAGAAAGATCACATTGCTCAAAATCGCACGAGGATATTTACAGCTTATTTGCCCATTTTCATTCATGATCTGCAACAGACGTGCAGAGGGTGTGGGTGGTCCAGCACACCAAGGAGCTAGCCCCTGACCCTGTGGTGCCAATCCTCTCCTTTTGGGAGCTGAAGTCCAATTTCTATGGACACCACTACAGGGGGTCAGAAGCCAGCAGCGTCCAGTCATGAAGTAGTTCAGCACATCCCAGCCAAGGCAAAGCCCTGGCCGAGAGCTCTGCATTAGCCGAGAATTGGCTCGTTCTGACCAGCCCTGGGGAGGAGATGTCCCAGAAGGTAGGAGACACAGAGTTGTGTCACCAGACCAGAATTGTGCTTAAGCGGAGCTGTCAAACCTGGGCTCATGTGTATTCAAAGCCCCCCACCCCCCACAGCCCAGTCTAGCCTGCACTAACCCAGCGAGCACAGGTCTGCCGGGTTCAGTCTTGTGCACCAACTGTCTTACCTCAATCCCCTGCTGGGCCCAACTCCACCTTCAGCTTTTCCTGAGCCACCCTAGGGAAGGCAACAGGATTGCCCCCGTATCACGCAGGGGCCTGTGTCTGGCAGTGCCCTGGTTACTGAGGAAGACGGGCAAGGAGGAAGGAACCCAGCTTGCGCCTCAGAGCCCACGCCGAGTTCGGGGAAACACCTTCCGAGCCCCATCCTTCTCTTGCTCACCCAGCGAGGGAAAGTACATGACTCTGCACCAAACATACCCAGAAGGATCAGAAGGCAAGTGTCTCTCACTGCTACCTCCGAGGCCACTCCAGATGAGCCAGCACCTCGCCCATGGGCTCTGGAGCGATACCGAAGGAGGACAGCAGGATTGCATGGCACAAGCATGATTCCAGGGCAGGTGCAGGCAGGGCCACTGAGAAGACTGCCCTGGAAGCTCTCACTTGCATTCCCACGCCTGGGAACGGGTCTCCTCTTCCTGACACACACTATGAAGTCAGACTGAGCTCACACAGCCAGCCCTGGGCGGGGGGAGAGGGGGGGGGAGGGGGGAGCAGGGGCCAATGGACCTCCCGAAACCTCATCCTCCCCCAGACCAGCTCTGGCACTCGGCTCCCAGAACGCTGACAGGAATGGCTGTGTCCGGACTCCAGGCGTTCCATCGCCTCCTGATGAAGGGCGGCCAGTCAAGTGAATTCTCCTCAGATGTCAGGAGCATCCCATAAGCGACGGAACCGGCTCTCTTGGTGCCCGTGGTGGCATGGCACACAGGATTCTGGGATGCACGAGGAGGGCCTGGTTGCTAGCAGCAGAGCGTAGGCTCAAGCACTCCCTGCAGTTTGTGCAAACAGCAATTCAGCCCTACAGTTAAGCATCAAAGGCAGCGTTCCTGGTGAGCCTGAGCAGCTGCTCAGGAGAGATTCAAGTGCTGCCCAGCTGGTTAACAGAGTGCCCACAGCTAGGGTTTGTTTCTTCCAGTGGTGCAGGGTCACACATGCCGTGGTGCACATAAAATTATTCCACACACGGATGGAAGAGATTAGCAGGAACATTGCTCAGACAATGAGCGAGGGGAGAGACGCAGAGGAACAAGAATTCCACCTCCACTTTATACTTTTTTGGGGGGGAAAGGGTTACGTACTCTTGGGCTGTGAAAGGCCATGTCCTCGCTGCAGAACGCAGGCACATGCTTGGTCACGTCAGCCGCTACCTGCAATAGGAGCTGAACTTGCGCCTCAGTCTCACCATTGCTCCTATCCCAGAGGGCGTTCTGACCGCACGCTCTAGGTAAGAAGTGGCAGGCAGGCTATTTGACAGAGGGGGGGGGGAGGGGTGGGGATCTTACATTGTGCCCCGAAAGTAACAAGACTCTCGCTCCAACCTGAACTGCGGCGTAGGCCATTCTAGTCTGGGGCCCTCCACCTCCAGCACCACAGCTCTATGCTGGGGACCGTCAGCCTCCGTGTCCCCAAAAGTCACAGTTGCCATGGCAGGAAAACAGAGCGAGATGAGCAAAGAGGAGCAGCAGCACATGCGTGGAGTCCTGGGCTTTTCCTCCTCTGGAAAGGCGACACCACAGAGGGTAGGCCACAGAAACTCCAGTGATCACAGCTATGGCCAAGCAAAACTGGTATTTGGGGGGAAGATAAGGGATTACATTGGGCTAGGCGAGGGGATCAAACTCTTTCTGGTTGAAGGAAAGGGGGAGGCAAGAACACATTGCAGAAAGGGAAGGATTCAACTAGCCCTCTGACAGACTGAGGCTAGCCCTTTCCTACCCTGCACCCTCACAAAACCAGGGATCCCTCCATCCATCCAGAAAGTAGCCTGGTTGGAGATCACAAGCCACCTCACCAAGTGGGACAACGGGACTGCTTCTAATCCAGGCGTGGCTGCAACAAGACCAATTGTCCTACACTAAAACCACCACTAAGCCTTCCTTATCTTCAATGGGGCAACGACCTGCTCCATTCTGGTCTGGGGCTGGGCCTATAGTCTGCTGAGCATCAGGGGCAGATGACCATTTTGTGGGGCCCCCCTTTGCCACGGCGCATGTGTGGGGCTTCTTGAAGTGCGGGGCCCGGGGCGGCCGCCCCGCTCGCCCTGCCCTATATCTGCCCCTGCTGAGCATCATCCCCATATTAGAGGTGGGACAGTGCACGCCTATGAGCTCCCGCTCCAATCTGTACCTGGCCGATGGGGAAAGCAGACCAAGGCGGCTCAAGAGAGCCATCTAGGAAGCAGAGGTTCTTAAGAAGAGAGAAAGAGGAAGAACCCATTTCCTCACAAGAGGGCCTCTGATAACCTTCCCCCAACTGCTCTTCCTGGGGAGAGACCTTTTTAAAAAAGGTGACGAAGCGAACCAGAGAAAATGCATTTGGAAGCTCGTCTTGTGGATTAAACAGGACAGTGGGCGATAGCCTGGGAGTCGAGAGCGCAGATTTAGACATTGGCCACAAATAAAGCAAGTTCAATGGATATTCATGCTAGTCCCTTTAGATGTTTTTCATAGACCCCCCTCCCTGCACCACCACCCCCAGGGAAACCCAATTCAATATGAACGACTCTCTGCTCTAAAGAGATCCAGTGTGGGGCAGGCCCCTGCAGATGAGAAGCCAAGTTCTTAGATACAGACAGGCAGGAAGAAGCTTGCCTAGAATCTGCCTGCACTGGGCTCGAAGCGGACCAGTGGCCCATAAGAATGTGGCAGAGGACCAGTTCTGCCGGGGGTTCCTCATACTTCTGCCCAGGTTTCATTTCCAGGGGAGAGGAAACCAACATAAACCTGTGTTGGCACAGGAGTTTGCAGCACAGCATTAAGAGAGTCTATGGCAGCAGCATGAAACACCTGCCCTTTCACCCTGACCAGAAGAGGAGCTCTGTACAAGTGCAGAACTCTCTCATCAACAGTTGTTGGTCCTCACACTCTCGCCGCTGTAACTTCAGCTGCCGTTTAGTTGGGGATAAACGGAACACACTTTGCAGGCAGGTATCTTCCAACTGGCGTACCCATAAGGGCTAGTTATTCAGCAAGACTGAAGTTGCTATGACACAGCTGAAGGAGACAAATCAGTCTCAACAAAAAGCACTTCTCAGAAGAGTCCTGAAGTGCTTTATTTAGCGAGACACCCATGTAATCAATAAATCTGTGGCTCTAGAGACTTAAGCAGTCATCAGTTTTACAGCCTATATACTAAGGCTGCCAATTGACCTGCATTAACACCTGCGATTAACACATTACATTTTTTAACATGTTAATTGCAGGCATTAATGCTGCGCTGCCCCTTTGAAGTGCTGTTTTGGCGCTTTAAAGGGGCAGCCATTAAGAGCTGGGGATCAGCCGGGGACTCCAGCTGATCCCTGGCTCCCCTGTTGCAAAGCCCCTTTGAAGCACCTCAGCGGCACTTCAAAGGGGCTTTTCAACAGTGGAGCCGGAGATCAGCCAGAGTCCCCAGCTGATCCCAGGCTCCTAATGCGCTGCCCCTTGGAAACGCCGCTGAGGTGCTTCTGAGGGACAGCATTGCATGGTGCCCAGGGTCAACTGGGGCCCTTTTGGAGGCGCACAAAATTAATCGCAATTAATTTTTTAATCACTTGACAGCCCTACTATATAACAGAGACTTGTCCACCAGTACGAAGGTGGTAACTGATTCATTCTCACCAGTGCTAGATGTTCCTGCACAAGTGTGCCCAAACACAGTAAGCGGATTCAGCACAGAAAGCAGTCACAGGGCTTCTATGAACCCATGACAGGCCAAAGAGCTCTGGGTATTAGGGACATTAAAAAGCAGTTAAGTACATAAATGTAACTGCTGAACGTCTTAGTGGTTATATGGTTACACGCTGGACATAAATGTAACTGCTGAAAGTCTTAGTGGTTATATGGTTACACGCTGCAGGATCTGCAGTAAAAAGCTTATACTGCACAGCCAGCTCTTCGGAAGGACCTGTGGGCTCCAGGGAGTGGAGTTGTGCTTCGGGCCCTACATACTACACAGGGTAGCAGCTGGCTCCCAGCATGCACCAGCTCTAGCCTGCTGCACAGCTACTAGCTGATAAAGGCAGCAGCCAGCTCCCTGGGAGCCAGTGCACGCCGGGAGCCAGCTTTTGGCTCGTGGCCCCACTCCCAGCTCTGCTCCCATGGAGCTGGCTGCCACCCCTGAGCCATGAGCTCTGATACAGAGCCAGCAGTGCAAGATGGCAGCCAGCTCCCCAGATGTGAGGCTAGGAGCTGGTGTGTAACCTTTACAGTAACCAATAAGCATGTGCTTATCGGTTACATCATTTAAATGGTTATGCTATTACATCCCTACCAGGAATACAGCCTTCCTGCAGCATTCTGAGTGTTTAAGGAAAACTTTATCTTATCCTTCAACAACGAAACAGACTATGGGAAGTCATCCTGCTACAATCTAAGAGGTTAATGTCATGCTGGTAGCAAGCAGAAAATATTTCAACCACCAAGTGAAAGCAAAGGTACAAACCTGTCCTGTCTCAGATAAGTTGGGCTGGATTTATTCTTCTGAAACAAATGCATTTGAGTGCTATTTCCCTCACCAACAACAAAATAAAAGTTAGATTTCAATCATCCTGCCAGCATCCAACATGTGTGAAACTGAAAAGACTCAGATTTTATTCTCAAACTTCCCAGGAGAGGAGGGAATACATTGTCCTGTAACATTCTACCCAAAGGAGCGTCCTTCCAAGCAGGATACTCCAGCTTAACGCAACTTCAAGGTGCTTAGGGAGACCCTAACCTCCTGCAAAGTTGCAAGAGCCACAGAAGAAAAAAAAAAAAAAACCCCCCCACTGGATGGCACCCTGCTGGGCAGGCCTTCA